TACAATTATTTATATATAATAAGTTCACTGATTCCATTATATATAAATAATGAAAAGGTAACAAATCATTATATATAAATATTGAAAAGTAACTTACAATTATTTATATATAACAAGTCATTATTTGTATATAATGGCACTCGACCTCAACGGTTATTTATATATAATTGGCAGTAAGATACCATTATTTAAATATAATGACCTTGACACGATAACACATGTGCATTATATACATAATAATGAGTTTGAAGTCCAAGCATTATATACATATAATGGTTTTGCGACAGCTATTATTTATATATAATGAAATGTAAAAGCACTTATTTATATATAATGAGTTTGAAGTCAATTCGTTATTTATATATAATAAAATCAATGAACTTATTATATATAAATAATTATAAGTTACTTTTCATTATTTATATATAATGATTTGTTACCTTTTCATTATTTATATATAATGAAATCAGTGAACTTATATATAAATAATTGTAAGTTACTTTTCATTATTTATATATAATAATTTGTCACCTTTTCATTATTTATATATAATGGAATCAGTGAACTTATTATATATAAATAATTGTAAGTTACTTTTCATTATTTATATATAATGATGTGTTACCAGTAACCTTATTATATGTAAATAATGTTTGGTTACCCTTTCATTATTTATATATAGTGAAAAAGTACACTAATTATTTATAAGTAATGAAAACGTTAATGCAATTATTTACATATAATCTGTTAGACTTAAATGCATTATATATAAATAATGGGTAATCTATTCAATTATATGTTAAATAATGAATTATATATAAATAATTGTGTTAAATAATAAATTTACACTTGGTGCCTCATAGTAACCAGTAGGCCACATTATTGTTGAATGCACGAATTAGTCGTGATCGTTAGTAGGACTATTTTACGACTGACATGATTACTTGATCAAATTAATCAGTTTATCCAGGTATAAAGTTTTCACAAAATGAACATGTAAAATCGCGTCAAATCACATACGGTATGGTAGCTATTGACTGTTTTCAGTTAAGTCTTATAGACACACTTAATGTAAAAAAATAGTAATCTTGCAATAATTTTTTCGCTGTTATTCATGTGTCTTGATTTAGCTATATTTTAATGTTATCGAATCAACATTTTTCTCCTGTTTGTATAGGCTTTTATATCTCTTTTAGCATATTCGTGCATCTGTTATGACTGTATTTTATCTAGGCCTATATGTAAGTTTATTGCAAACAAATAAATTCGAATAAAATACAAATCAGTGCAGCACAAGCATAATATACTAGCAGTGTTGACTATGCAGCCTCAAGTTTCTAAATAGCAGGTCTCAAAGCTAGCTCTGACTGCTGAGAGTGAGACTGGGTAAGGCAGTAAACATCGATAATTTGAAAACCATTTCCGCTAAAACCATGAATATCTCGGTCACAATAATGGTTTTTAATTGGAGGGAGACCTGTAATAGGAATAATCGAGTATAATACTAACTAGCTTTTATTACGGTATGAATACTTGGGCAAAAGTTTGTGTTATTTGCCCAAAGCACAATTTGAAAATCAGGGTCGGCTGGCAATTTTTCTTATGGGTTTAGCCCTAAACGACCAAGCTTCATTCACTCGAGTGGTACATTATCAGGTCTCACCACATGGTTCCATGTGTTTATTAGGTTTAACTACATTTGCAATTACTGTATAGATTAGTTCTTTTTCTTCTGGGTTTAGACCCAAAAATCTAAGGTTCATTCACCCACGTGTGCGCATGTGCGAGTGCCGCTTGCGCGCTTGCTCGCTTGTTTCTTTGTTTCTTTTTTGTTTGTTTGTTTATTTATGTATTTATTTATCTATTTAATATATTTATTTCATTTAATTTTACCCTCAACATCGAACACGCAAGTAACACGGAGCATACAGTAACATACAATATAAAGTCTCAATAGAAACCTTAATAGGCCTACGTGTTTCTGTCACCTGAAATGTAATCAAACTCTATACTTTATCTAATAATACACAGTCCTATTTACACTGACGTAATGATCATACATTTAACTTACAAGTTAATGTAGGAATATAAATCAATAAGTCTTGAAAATAAATTTTCAATTAATAATTTTTAATTTGTATTGCATTATTATAAACTACATTGTTCATCCAGTAAGGATTTCAAAGTGCAATAGAACAAGTCAGTGGTCGTAAGCCATATGCTAAAAATTCTTCACATATTGTAAATTATAAAGTTTATTAAGATAAATCAGTATAGAAACAAAGATAATTTGAAAGTAGTTCGTGTTATTTCATCTAATATACTTTATTCAGATCCACGAGTACACATTTAATATTTATTACTTAAGAAAATAGGTGAATATTCTTAGCATAACCGATGACTTGGCAACTTCTCAACTCTTCATACTATACCCATGAGTCCATGAACCTCAAAGAGAATCGGAGGTTCAGGTTCTTCCAGATAAAATGTTAATTTTTAGAACTTTCCAGACTTCTGAAGTGTCTTTTCATGACTTAAGTTCTTCGAAGTTCAAGATTTTCCCCTCTTGAAAACGGAAATGTAAATTGTTGTTATTTCTTTTACAGTAAATATGCCTTATGTGTCAATACATACATAAATAAAAAATTGAGTAGCTGCATACATATTCTTTTTTTTTTCATAAATCGATAAATCCATCTCCACCGGGAAAATTTTGATTCCTAGGTGTTTTTAATGATTTCAGCTCTTCAGAATTCAAGGTTTTCCCTTCTTGAAAACGATTCTATGAATCGATGAACCACAAAGAGAATATTCAAGGTTTTTCCTTCTTGAAGACGGTCAGGTAATATTTTTTAATTTTCATTCTTATTACAGTAAACAGGCTGTATGATATGTGTGTATACATACATAAACAAAAATTGAGTAGCTGCATACGTTTTTTTTTTTGTTTTTGTTTTTTTTTTTCATGAATCGATAAATCCGAAAGAGAAAGGAGGGGCTGAGGTGTCTTTCAATGGCTTTTAAGTTGTTCAAAATTAATGGTTTCCCCTCTTGAAAACGAGTCCATGAATCGATAAGCACAAAGTGAGAGGCGGTCCGAGTTCAAATGTTGATTTCTAGATGGCACTAAATGAGCTTTCGCGACTTCAGAATTGTCTTTTAATATTTTTAAAGTTCTTCAACATTTTTAACCTTTGAAAACGGTCAGGTAGATTTTTCTCAGTCTTATTACATTGAATAGGCCTATTATGTGTGTACCGGTATACATACGTTGCACACTTATTCTTTATTAGATGAATCGATAAACTCCATAAAGAATAGGGAGGCGGAGCCTTCTCCAGAGAAAATGTTGATTCCCAGATTGCTGGAAATGAGCATTCTGGACAAATTTTCTTTTTTTTTTCTAACTAAAAAAAAAAAAAAAAAAAAAAGGAAAAGAAAAACGAAGTCTAGAATTTTTTTTTCTTCTTTTTTTTTA